GTGTGTGTGTGTGTGTGTGTGTGTGTGTGTGTGTGTGTGTGTGTGTGCGCGCGCGCGCGCTTTGGTTGCTTTCATTGGACAATTGCCAACACAGACTGAAACGGCTACAAATACACATTTTGTTAAAACAAGTATGAATTCATTCTTTCTTGATGTTGCATTTGTCAATGAAGTTTTTTTTCTTTCTTTTACAGTAAAAATAAATGCTAAACAAGCCAATCTATCCTATATTTTTTGACTTCTTTCTCAGATACAAAACATGAACTGAACAAGGAAACAAATGGTATAACTGGCACTTTGGTCATCTGACAGCAACCTCACTGTCATGGCCACGGGCTCAGTTTGACCTTCTCCATACAACTCAATAAGAGACTAAACAGAGAGATGACGCTGAATATTTCCCTTAGTGTGCATGTGTACGTGTGTACGTGCGTGCGTGCACGTACCTCTAACATTACCTCCTACTCTTTCACTCCTACTACATCTCGGCCTTATGGTCATCACCTCTATTGGAGCTACGGATCCTTTCCTTCCATCCTATATCTGGCCTTGAGTGATGGAGGAAGCTTTTGGAAAACTTTGTTCATATCTAAAAAGAAAAAGGAGTTGCCATACATCAGCACCCCTACTGTATCTTGCTTCCTATGGCAATGTGGGCACATGCTTTGAAGAGGGAAGGATTAATAACCACTGCTGAAGGAGAGAGCGGATCCCTATATTTGGTAATTCCCCCTCCTCCCTTTTTTCACACTATTTCCGCTGCTCGCTCGCTCAGAACATTTCTTGTTATTATTTCTGCAGTCTCAGCATTAACTAATTCCCTGCTAGGTTTGACTTTTAAGCCCACTCCTCTACCGCTTCACACTATCTTTCCATCATTCTGTCTGCATGGCAGTGTGTCAGTCTTAATTTGTCTCCTGTTCCCTCTGGCTTTGACAATCACCAGACTCTTTAATTGCTCTCTTAGTGTATTTACAAGTCAGCCAATTTCCACCACGTCTGTCCATCTGGCATCGCCCACCGATGAGTCAGTCGAGTGACAAACTTACTGACGTATTTGCCTTTTGCAGAGGTGCCAGCTTGTGAATCCTTACAGACACACAAAGACAGATACTCATCACAGCAAGAGCCATTCTGAACACCTCTTACTGTGACATCAGGTCCATGTGGCCAGTCCTTCCAGTTTTCACGGTTTGGTCACACAGCGATAATCTGCTACTTTTTGATGTGTTCTTGTTTTTAGTTGTTTTGTCCCACAATTTTTTCTTTTCTTTTGCTTTCAACACAAAATGGCCATTTAAAGAACCTTAAATATTGGTTTTGAGTAAGTTCTGCAAATATTGCCCCAAGAAAAAGCATGATTCAAGAAATATTCTGAGAATTTTTTTATCAAGATCTTCATCTGCATCCAAATCAACAATCTTTACACAGTATATCAATATGTCACAGAAAGACATCCAAAAACCCAAATCTCCAGCTTCCTGACAGGAAGCATTCTTTCCCTGTGGTTGTCTCAAACGACACCATGTTTACAGAACATGGTGCAGTGGTGTGAGTTGGATGGATCAGACAACCACGGATGAGTGGATTTATTACTTATCTCCTGCAAGTTGCTGCTTCTACTGCCAGCACTGTCCTTGCAGCGTCTCGCTGTATTCTAACTGCCTCTTTTCTTATTGCTGCGTGGACACTGTTCCCCTCCTCCCTCCTTTTCTCTCTTCCTCTTTGTAATGCTAGTTCTCGGAACAACCCTTCCCTTTTCTCTCCCTTTCATATCCTTGCCTCCCTTCCTTCTTCGTTGACATCCCTCCTGCGTTCCTTTTTTTCTTCTCCCTCCCTCCCAGCCTCACAGCACATTGTCTTTTCTTCTCTGTTTCATCGTAAACCTCACTGTGCTCTGTCCTGTAGAAGCACTAGCCTTCTCTGCTGGATGAAGATGAAAGTGATTGTAGTGGACCACAGATATCAAATATCACAAAAATACATACCTATTTACATGACACTTTAAGTGGTTACAGTATTGTCATTACTGAGCACTGATTCTAACAGTAATTGTATTAGCAGCCAGTTAATTGGATGCACTAATAGCAATAGCAGTTATAACTAAGTTGAAGTGACAAAATTGACAACATCATTCACGACTGCTATCAAATTGCACTGACATTAGTGATGGACTCAGTCCTCGTAGCCCTGATTGCAGGGAATCATAATATGACACCATACAGGTGAGACACAGAAAGCCATACCTGTAGAGTATTGTCGATATATTTGAGCTTCGCTGAAGAACTCTTATCAGCCCGGAAAAGTGTTACGCCCTGTAGGTGGTAGATTCAGAATCTAACCGTCCCCCTATCTCCCTCGCTGTGCCTTGAGGAATGGCTTACAGCAAAGCGGGCAAAGGGGGTGTAGAGTCTAACAGGTATCCTCACAGCCTTTAAAACAGGCTGGAAAGGATGTCGTACCAAGAGTTAAATTCAGCCGAATAGCAGGTGTAGGTTGAGGCAGAGGCTGAAAAGAGAAAGGGATAGTAGTGTGAAAAAAGATGGCGAGGAGGATGAGGGAGAGGAGGAAGAAGGAGGCAGGTCGAAGTCAGGTGGACACTCAAGCTCGATGCATCGCAGGGTGACACCTGAGTCCTCGTTGCCGTAGTTTACCCAGTACTCTTCTTCGTCGAGTTTGGGCAGCGCCAGCTCTTCCTCCCCCAACTCGTACTTGACTACTGAGGTGGTTGTGGATGGGCCTTTCCCGTACAAACCAGCTTTGACAGTCTCTGAGGATTTCTCAAAGAGACCTTTCGTTGATGACTGGGGCTTGTTCTTGTGGAACCACCAGCGGGTTTTGGTGCTGAAGGTGGTGGTGGTGGAGCCGGCAATGGAGCCAGGGTCTGGCAGGGGGCAGAGAGCGAAGTCCATCTCACGAAGGAAGCGAAGGTCCTGGCTGCGGCGGGTGGAAGGAGAGGCGCAGATCACCTCCGATGAAGAGACACGGGCTTCGCGGAACCACTCCCACAGGGCGCGGGCCTCGCACCCGCAGGACCAGGGATTGGCGTTGAGGCGGAGGAACTCAATGCCCTGAGTGTCCCTCAGGGTCTGGCTTGGTAGCTCAGCCAGGGAGTTATTGAAGAGGAAGAGCATGGTCAGGCGACCAAGGTCACGAAAGGCGCGACGGTTCACCTGCCTGATGCGGTTGTCGTGAAGGAGAAGGCGGTCGAGGTTGACCAGTCCGCGGAACACGTTCTCTGACAGGGTGCGGATACGGTTGCCATGCAGGTAAAGCTGGCTCAGGTTGATGAGGTCAGAAAAGATGTCGTCCTGCAGGAAGTGAAGATTATTCTCCTGAGGAAGAAAATCAAGGAAGGGAGGGGGTTTAGCATGAAAAGAACAGACATCATTTGTAATAATTGTAACTGGACGATTGTGAAGATGTGTGTACGTGTGGGTGGCTGCATGTGTTTCGTTGTGTGTGTGTGTTCGTTTGTGTGCGAGTGCGTGTGTGCCAACTGTGTGTCAGAGTTAAATGCATGCTATGTATGTCTCTCCAGCGCTCCTACCTGCAGGTAGAGGAACTGCAGGCTGTAAAGCTTGTGGAAGATGTCATGGGGCAGGGCATTAAGTCGGCAGCGATGCATGTGGAGGCTCTGGAGCTTCTCTAGTCCGCGGAAGGCTCCCCCCTCCAGCCTGTGGAGGCTGGGATTGTCCCCTAAATCCAACTCCTCCAAGTCCCTCAGCTCACTAAATGCCCCTCCCTCAATCCACGTGATGTTGTTGGCGAACAGCCACAGCACCTAAAGCAAATAAACACATGACTTGAACGGTGATTATTCTTCTTAGTTGATATTAACTGTAAATGTTGAACATTTCAAAATCATCCTGCAATAAAACTTTTCTATGCCTACAATTTAAGCTTCACGTTTCCCCTTCCCTTCCAGCAAAAGGTTTTTTTTTTCTTTTCACACTCTCTCTTACCTGAGTCCCGAAGCCAAAAGAGCCAACTCTAAGCTCCGTGATCCGGTTGTTCTGGAGGAATACACGCTGCGACTCATAGGGCACTCCGACCGGGACGGTGGTGAAGTTCTGCGCCTGGCAGCTCACGGTCATGGGCGTCGGGTAGCACACACACAGGTGCGGGCACGCCGATGCCGGACTTGGCTTGCCGAGGACCAGCCACACCACCAGCCAGAGGGAGAGACCGCCTGAAGGAGAGCAAGGAGAGAGGGAGGTGAGCGGGAGCTGTCTGGTGCTGAAATCTTCCGTTTTCATTTATCACACCAGCATATTGAATGCAAACCCGTGTACATTTGAGACTTCTGCACTGGTATTTTCGGTTGGCATTAAATCTCAACTGTCTAAACTTTACAGCTGCGTGTTTCTACAATAACTTAAGTTTATGTCTCGACATTACGCACCGACCTTTACGCACAGCATAATCACACAAGTGTCAAAACTTAGCAGCTCTTTTTTTGCTTTAATACAAAGTTCCTGTTATATTCCATTTCACATTAAACCATTTAAGTCGCACATTGTTTTCCTTTCTAATTTTAATCATTTATCCAATCATATATCAAAGTCGATGTTACATTTATCTTTAGCAAGCTTTCTTAGATTAAAAACTTAGAAATTGTTGCAAAACTTATGAAAAGCAGCATTGCACTAGATCTATGTCTGCGTCGATGTATCCCAAACCAAAGAATATAGAGACAAACTTACTTTTGCAGTTGCGCATGATGGAGCATCGTCGGCTCCGAGAAATCGAAGAGGTGTCCATCCTGAACCAAAGCCCAAAGCGAGTTAGCCTAAGAGGGCAAATTAAAGCCTGCTATCTCCGCTGATGCCCTGGTTCCCGAGTCAGAGCGACTGAGAGTGTGCCGGTTGGTGGCTACCAGTGTCTCATATATACTCAAGCATCCCGTTATTGCCTACGGCAGTGGGCACCAAGGAATCTCCTACGTCATCGATCCGGGGTCATGAATGAATGAGGGCGGCAAAAAACGGAAAGGGGAGGGCCGACCGTGGGGGATTCTCTTGGAGAGTTTGTACGCGCGCAAAGACTGGTTGGAGACGTGCGCTCAGACTATGAGAGGAGGAGACTTTTCTCGACGCACATAGAAGGAGGGAGGGTGAGAGAGTAAAAGTAGAAACAGTGAAGGGAGGGTTGAGGAAGGGGGGGGGGGGGGGCAAGGCACGGTGCCTGGTAATGATGACTCTGTGGAGCAGCAGAGAACGAGTAGGAGAAGAGCGCACAGCTCGTTTCCTGGCTGGCTCTCTCAGAGACTGTTATGGCCATGCTTCCGGAGCGCTGCAGACAGAAAGATACAGAAAGTGGGCCTAGATGGTCTGCCTTAGGAAAGCAGGATGCCCCCGAATTATGAGTCAACATTGGAAAATTCGGTGTCAGAAGAGTCATTCAAAGCAACTGTGATAGAGTAGTATTTTTTTGTAGAGGTTAAATACGACATGGTCCAGTTAGCTGTTTGTACAATTATAGCTCCTGAGATCATTTATTTAAAGATGAGATATAAGTGGCTAAACAAGGCAAGAGTGGTCCGATGGAAATGCACTTTTTTATACTATTTAATTCGGATCACTTTTAACACAATCTGTAGAATTGAATGCAGGCATATTTCTCTGGTTTTATTGCACCTGTTCAACTATTGTTAATTAGGTTTATAAATGGGGGAGAGAGGCTAGTAATTAAGCCAGAAAGCAGAAAGACAGCAAAGCACAACAGATGCACAGCACTTCAAGTCTGTTTTGTTGTGTGTCTGTGCCTCAAGCTGTCCTCGCTTGTGTTAAACCACCAGCCGTAAGACAGCAGGATAGCATGTTTTGTGACAATGATACAGTGTGAAGAATACAACTTTGTCATTGGCCTTTTCGTTGACTGAATGTAATTTGAAGTACTTTACTACTTTAATGGACTGAGTGAAGTACAATGTTAGTTTAACTATAGTTATACCTTTAATTGTATTGACCCTGAAAAATATTTCAATTTGAAGTTCAGTTTGTGGCGTGGTGCTTTCATTACATATTTCTAAAGATTTGCTCCTCCATCATTGTGAATAGGGTGGACAAAATATTAGAAACACTTTAGTTTGATACAGGAGCACTGTAAAGCCTCAAGTTTGAGTTAATAAACAAACCAAGTTGGTATTATTTGCAAGGCTAATGTATTGTATTGCATTATATTGTAGATGTTTTTATCTCTCATTATCCAATGACCCGTAATCAGTATCGCTCTAAATACATACAGCAATGCAAAGGACCAGCAGGAGCAACCGCAGCTACAGTATACGGACTAGAATGAAGTATAGGATACGCTCTGAGAAATGATTAGTTGAGACTTGGGGAGGCTTTCAAGATGCCATCAGCTGTTAAGGCCTCTCGAAAATGGTACTCTTTGTTTTGCACACTGTGAGAGACTCCGTGAGCTGTTAACACTATTGTCAACGAGAGAAGAAAGTTTATTCGACTTAGACAAAGGCATTGAAGACTAAACGGAGACGGATGCGCTTGAGTCAGAGATTGCAACCGCATATCCCGAAAAAAAAAAAACGGGATATGGTTCCTCTTGTGACCACGGGCCACGACAAGGACCGGATTGGGTTTCGTATTTACCGTGCACTGCACCTTTAATACCGGCTCAAACCACTCAAAAGCCCACAGATTATATTTAAGGGTACATGTGGCAGTGAATGATTTACTGAGACCAAGGATTACCCCAAGATTAAAACATTTATTACAACAAACAACAATTTAATATGTTAAAAGACAATAAAAATGTATATATCTAATATACCTGGCACAGGTTATAATAGAGGCAAAACCAAGCAAAACATTGTATTCATGTAACCATGAATACAACTAAATTGATAAGTTAAACAAAATAGCAGTGGCAGTCAACGTCTCCTGCCTGCTCACTGCACAACATCCATCTGGAGGGCTTGACGGGGAAGTGGAAGTCTCTTTGGAGCTGGACCTAGAGTAAAATAAGACAAGGGTGAAACCCACGGCAAATATGTCTCACTTACAAAGCTAAAGTTCACACCTACCGAGAGCCTGGAGGTCAGAGAGAGGGAAAGACGCAGCTCATGGTATGGCTATTTATGGTGGAACAAACAAATTGGGAACCAGGAAGTAGGAGGGGCTAATGCCTACCCAGCTCCACAGTAGCCCAGGAGGGACATTTCATTGCCGGCTACACTCTTATTAATAATAACAGGACGTGTTCAATAAAGTTTAAAGTCTCACAGTCATGACTTCCCGGGTTTCGGCACCAAAATGTTGTGAAGTGGAGCTTCTAATTGACAACCAAGACACGTCTGGTTTTGAACGGAACACTTTACTTCCTGAAACTGCAGTATAACAACTGTTACAGTAAACAGACCGCGCTCTTGCACCCGACATATAGGTTTTCACTTATCATCATCATTGTTGTCGTGAAGAAGCACGTATCATGCTACTTCCTGTCTCTTCACAGTAAAATCACTTCCGTTTTCATGCTCTTCACAATAAAAGTAAACATGCACTCAAACAATTTACAAAACACTTGTTTGCTCTCCTCTTTCCTTCTGCTTTATTGCACTCACTTGCTTGTATCGATCATCGGTTAGTTTGGCCTTGTAGGCTCTGTTGTTACGCCAAGAGCTACAGGAGGGGCTATAAAGAGCTGTAAATGTCCTCAAAATTGTAGGCACAGCAACACTAAGAAGAGAAAAATAGCATAGTCGACCTCGGATAATATTTCTTTTTTTGAATGTCTGACATTGAAAATAAATGTGGAATGCTGCTCAGATTGAGAGTCACAATGAGGTAGACAACAGTAGTGATCCCATTCATAATACTGTAACACAGGCGGCTCAACAGATGAGTATACAAGGGACAACATAGTCACATGTCACACACATGTACACACAAGCTTCATTTTGCATGAAGCCAACTGAGCCACAGGCATCATAAACAAATGAGTAATTGAGGGGATCCATGACACGGTATGTGTTGTTGTTCCCTCACACCTCCTGCTTTGTCCTTATCTGGACTTGTGGACGAGCTTTGGTGCCCACTGGCCATCCGGGACCAACACCTCACAGGCCTCCCCTTCACACACACCCACAGTACCAGCTGCATGTGCAAGTGTGTGTGCTTGCATTCCTGCCTGCTGAGGCGCAACTCTGTCTAAATGCCACCACTGAGTGTCAGTCAATCAGTGTTGTGCCAGTCACCCACACAGCAGGTTTGCAGTACTGTGTGGGCACTGTCTCCTCAATGAGTGTGATGATAGCTACGTTGTGTTTGTGTAATCCCCACACATAAAAAAAGAGGAGACTTCCCCGGGCCGCACCCACTCCTGCACATCTGCCTGCCTATCTGTCCATCTGCACGTCTGTCATCATCTGTCCCTCTGTCTGCATCCTGCTGTCCTTCACTTTATTTACTGTAAGTTACCAACTGAGGAGTGCGTCACTGCACCAACTACCACACACAGTTGTTATTTCTCTCTCTGTGTTGTGAGACAACCGGAGATAAACTGATTGCATTTTCAATCAGCTGATGTAAATTAGCCTCCTGGATTCATTGATGCAAGTGTGGCTGCGCAATTCTTTCCCGCGTGACATCAACTCCGTCAACACTGCCAGCAGGTCGGAGAGCGTGTTAGTGAGGGCGATGGGGTACTGTAGTAGAGGTGTGTCTGTTGCCAAGGTAACAACACACATCCCTCTGTACTCTGGCCTGTGATGAAGCTATTAAATAAAAGGTAATATCTTCCTGTTATTGAACTGCAGCCCCCTTTTGCACAATTCACATTGGCTTGAAAACATTTGCTTCTCTTTATTAATATCCTGGAGTGCTGTCGGTTTAATAAGGTCACTCAGTGACGGGGAATGGCTTTTACATGTTCACGGTTCATCTCATTAGTCAACACAAAGCACAACTTGGACGCTCAGTGTATTTGTGCCCCTAAGGGCGACACTAATGATGAGGTGCGGAAGGACAGGAGGACAACAGACAGTGTGGCGTGCATGCAGTAAAAGATGAATGCAGACGCAGACATACTCTGAATTAACAGCACATGGCAGCGTAGTGTCACGCACATAACCAGGGAGACAAAGCAAACCAGGACATGTACTTCTGGATGGTGACCCAGGCTGTCATATTAGTAACACATTTCTCATTGGCACGGCCCATCTACTTCTCACACATGCAGCATCTTTCAGAGTCTGTCTAATTGTCACCGACAAAGACGCTCGTGCTATTCTTCAGCTCACCTCCCCTCTCCTACATCGCATTTCTTTTTGTCTTCATATGCTCCCTCCCTTTTCTGCCGGTGTCTTTCATTTGTTCTGTCCCTTGGCGTCATCACTTCCGCTCGACCATAAACTGCTGCTTTCTTTCCACACACTGACACACAGTCTGCAGAACAATGGCAAGAGAAGAGGAACAGTAATTAATTCTTATCTTCTTATAAGGCAACAAGTTATTGAGTTTCTAATATGCTAGACAGCCATTTAGGGATGAGGTCATCACTTTTGTGTTATTATTTTCATATTTCTTAAGAGCACTTTAACATTTCGCATTTTTCAAGGATTTAATCTTTATTCACCAAGAGAAACTTTTTGAGCAAAATAAAATGAATTTTCCTCTGAAGAGTACTGTACAGGGCCGCATGATCTTTGGACCCTACAGACGCCTCTGTTCACATGTTGTTCATTGAGTCTGTACTCTGTTGTCTTTAAAGCCGCAGAGGATGTTACACAGGAAGCTTTGTTTACTATGAGGAGTACTCGGTCTGTGAAAACTATTCCCTCCATAATGTGTGTCTGTACACAAATCCACAAATAGTTAACAGGCTTCAAGAGAAAGTTGAAGGCTGCAGTAAATGATCTTTACCGCTGTTGTCATTCTCATGAAAGGATTTTTTTTTTTTAACTGAAATGATGCAGAAAGATGGCACCAATTACTAAATGCTATTTAAACGTTATTTATAAGACTAAATAAAAATGATAGCGTACAAATGCCAAATAAAAACAAATGGCCATTTTTGCCTTCATGAGATAGACGAGACAGAATTGGGGACGACATGCACCAAGAGGCTGTGGGTCAGATTCAAACAGGCCACTGCAGTCAGGATTCTGTCTGGGTACACGGGGCATACACTCATGCACATGTAAATAATGTGCATGAACTTCAACAGCTTTAAAACACTAATAGAAACAGTACCGACATAAATGCAGAAGGAAAGATATCAAACAGCCATTAAAAGGAAACACCATAGCTACTCACAGCTAGTTCAACATGGGAAGCGTTCACATGTAGATAAACTAAAGGTATTACAGTATTTAAATATAATTTAACAGAATACATCACATGACATTTGTGTACTTAATTATTTATTGGTGTAAATGTAACTTACATGTGAAGCTTTGGAAGGCACAAACAGAGGAAGGAAAGGATAAGCTAGCTGCAGCTGCAACATAACAACTCAAGAATTTTCTGATTGGAATCTCTGAACAATGACCTGGCTGTGTCACATGACTAAAACAACCAATGGAAACAACAACAGGGTGTTAGCGAGATGATACTAAATTATTCCCAGATGACCACAAGGTGAAGAAAATACCAAATAGATGCAAAGTTCTTACAGAATATGACAAACTGTTGTATAACATCTTCGGTGGTTTTGGATGGAGATGGTGTCGTCGGGTTAATCTGAAAGCCCACTAATTATGGCAACTTCATTTTATTCTGCATTTAAATATTTTGGAACACTACCCGCTGTGGAGGTAGTTTAGTTTGTCTCAGATATCTTTGTAGATTAATATAGACTGCTTTATAAGCAAACAATTGGCTATACATAATACAGACTCCCCATGATGAACCTAATAACCTCTTTACATTGTGACATATTATATATAAAGGTGCATTCTCCTGTAAAAGCCTTTCAACAACAGTGAGATGAACTCACTCTGCTTTCTTTGGTCAATGCAACTTCCTGTCCTCCTCTTTTATCACCAGCAGAAGAATTGTATAACACTTAGCCATATGTGTTTGCATGTGTTCAGATCAATATTGTCCACTCTCCCTCCTTCTCCTCCTACTCCATCCCTCACTCACTCGCTCACTCATATCTTCATAGCTTATGTGCTCAGTGTCCTCTCACAGCTCTTGCACGTTTCCAAAAACATGAAAAGCTTTTTCCCCACACTCTCTCTCCATGTACAGATCTCTCACTCACTTTATAAGGTCTACATTTTGTAACTGAATATGACCTGAAAACATGGGAAAATAAATGTAAAGTAATATCTACAGGCAGGTGCATAGCAGAATCCATTTATTTATGTATTAAATAGCCACGTTTCTGTGTAATAACAATGTGACAATGTCCCTGGTTTGAGTTCAGCCATTGTCCCGTGTATCTCTACAGTCACTGTCCATTAAAGGTAAATGCGAAATAATAATCCTTAGAAAATCATTTTTAAGATCATATTTGTTTTTCCTGTAGGTAATGATTCAACATGATTGTCAGGTCTCAAGGATACAGACAATGCATTTCAGTGAGTAGCATTGAATGAAAACATCATTCAGAGAAACTCCACGGGACGCCTTTTCTCCATGAAAATTGGGCCGACACGGTGTCTTTATTGATCTTGAAGATGGTAGATGCAGACTGTCCAAGGGTCTGAAGCTCTATCACAGCAGTCTCAGTCGAGAGTTGTTTCAGCTACATTTAACAACACATACTGCTCACAACACAGTAAAACTGATGTTTTAAAAGCAACGTTTGGAAGTGTTAGAAAAACAGCTGACCACAAATCCAGGCAATCATTCACGTTAGAACTGTCAATCTGGCATACATGAAAAACAATATATATATATATACTGTGTATATATATAATTATAAATTATGACCACATCTTACAGTCAGTTCTGATAAAATGGTTTCCAGATTTCCCCGTAGACATTCAGTTCCTCTCTAAATATTTGTGCTGTTTCTTCCCATCCTAGAAACTGCGTCATATTGTTGAACCATACAGAAGGTGTCTTTCTTCAGTAACAATGTAGTAAACATATATAAAAACAACTTCAGTTTTATATTATATATTATGTAAAACATGTTAAAATAAATAAAGGCCAGGTCACACAGAAACCCTAGTTTTCTTCGAGGACATTGTATTTTAGAGCGATTACAGCAGTTGGTGCCACGAGGCTCACGAGCTATTCTGCCCCACAGAATAGCTTGATTTTATCATTGAACGTTTCCCACAGAGACAAATGTGTTTCACAGCAGAGTGCTTTCCTCATTATGCAGAGACAATCTACACAGTCCCTTCTTGGTAGCTTTGTCATTTTAATATTTGCTTTTAAAAGAGGGAGATGGTGATCACTAATCCTCTGATCGACGGGA